TTATTCTGCTTTCTTTTTATGCTCAGGATGGAAGTGATGACATTTAAGCTCCTTAAGTGTTAGGCTGGAAAAATCCTTTTTTTAACACATGGGAAGGAAGTGAAGAAAAATTAAGTCGCTCTTTGCCTTGGTTGGGTTCTTGTAAGAACCTTGGCAAAGGCAGTTAATGTGGGAGGTGATTCCTGGGACTGAGCAAGGGGTTGGGTAAAGTAATCAGGGATGGAGGAAGGCCAAAGAATGGGTGAAGCTTGTCCTGCTCATTTCCCAACACTGGCCTGCGTGGTGCAGGTAGTGGGGTGTGTAAAGACAGACCCTGCTTTAGTACATTTCAGCACAGCCTTGGAGCAGAACCCAAATAGTTCTGACTCTGGTTTTAAGACCTCCTGTGCTGAAAGAGAGGAGGTGGCCATCAAGAGCAACAGTCAGGGATCCTATTTGAGGGTGGCCATGACTGGTGTGTGGTTTGGGATTGGTGACCCCTCCTCTTAGGACCCTGCTTTCCTGAAGCTCATGCAATGGTTGTCTACTGAGGCAAACCCCAGCATTGGGAAAGAGTGCAACAGGTGTCAAGGTCTTCACAGAAATCGTGAGACAAACTGCTTCTTTGCAAATGTGTGAGTTTTGGTTTCAGTTACTTTGATATTATACAATTCTGTTTTTGTCTAAGAGTATTATATTTTTTAAAGATTTATTTATGCATACAAGAACTGGGGTACAGGCCAGAGATGTGGGGGGTGAGAGGATTCACCAGAGACAGAGTGGGGAACAGAACAGGCAGACTGACTGAAATACACTGCTGAGGGGAACAGTGGCCAGGGCAGGAGAGGTCTGCTGTGCCATGTGGGTAGCTCCCTGGCCAGATGGGGTTTGAACTCATGCTGCAAAGGCTTTGGATAGTTTCACAGTGCTGTGCTTAACCCCTTGTGCCACCAGGGAGGCCCTAAGAGTATTATTTTATTGACATTTTATCATGATCTTTGCTCTCTGTGGCCTGATCAGCAAGGCCTGATCAGCAAGGTGGACTTTACACTCCATTTGACTTCTTACATTTTACAGGGTGACTATCAATACAGGGTGGGATGTGAGTCCTGGGGGAGTGCCAGCTTGCCCAGGTTGGTGCACAGAGCAGGGTTGGTGGTTACGTGACAAGGTAGAATTAGAACCCATCTCTGCCCACCCTGGATTCTTCAGGATTCCTGGATTCTTCAGCAACTATTATGTTCTCTGAATCTTATATATATTCTTATTTGTAGTTTTATCTTTTCATCCTGAACTACAATTCTTAATATGTTTTTCAGATTTTATTTTGTTACCTCCCTAACAAGTTTTAAAAAAGACTTTATAGTAATGCAGAAAGAAATATGTAACATAGCAACAATAACAAAAAAGCAAATACTACTCTTTGCTTACCAGTGCTAGTAACTATTTTTAAATTCATTCACTCTCCACACCATCCCTGGGAGGTAGGTACTATTATTATCCCTACTGTTTTAGATCAGGAAACTGAGGCACAGATTGTTGCCAAAGACCTCTAAGGTGGAACAAACTCAACCCAAGCAGACTGGCTCTAGAGCTATGCTTGTCACTAAAAGGTAACTAACCAAAAGCTGAGAAAGGTGAGGCATGGAGAAAATTAAACTAGATCCTTCTTTTCATCCCTCTTTTCACTGCTAGACTCTGCCCTGCCTGAGAACAAGGGAAGGCAGATTATAGGTATTTGATAAGAGTGATATGTGACCTTCGTAAGCCAAATGTTTAATTCTGCTTTCTTCTAATCCCACTGGCTCCCAGTTGAAAGAAGCTGGGACTACCCATAACGTGCAGGGGCAGTGGTGAGGACAACCAGCCCCTCCATCACACACCAGGAGGATGATGTGATTCAATACCTTCCTCCCCATCCAGACTGGCCTTTTACCATGAAGCAGTTCTAACTGGAGCAAGAGTCCTTCCTCAGATGTGCTAGGGAGCCCCAGCCCACAGGGGGCCACCCTTGGAGGAGCAGCACAGGGATACCCACTTGGACCCCCCATGCCTCCTGCATGTTTTGCCATTCACAACACATTCCTTCTTTAGGTGTGCTCGTGCTTTCACGGGGGTTAGCATGGCATCAAAGAAAGCTGAATCCTGGCTCTGCTATTTATTAGGAAGGTCATCCCAGGGTCCAGGAGATGAAGATACATGTCTGCCATGACCAAACAACAGGAACCCTTAGTCTAGAACTCATCTCTCCCTACTCTGAAGCACTGAAGCTGGAGAAATGACCATCGATTAGGGGTCACCTAGCCTCTTTGTCCCCCAGAGTAATCATCTTAAAATTTTTCTGTGTCTATTCTATATATACTTATAGAATTTATGCTACTTGAAGAGATGTTGAAACTATCAGTAAAATTATTATTGCATTAAGGACTGCATTTCTTGTTTCTCTCCTTTCACCACAGCGAGTTCCTCCATTGCTTTCCATTCCCAGCTAGAGCAACTGGCTCTAGACAGTTGAAACAAATTAGCAAGTGGATGAATGCCTTATACAGGGCCTCCATCTCCTGCCTGGGTCCCATCCCCTCAATTCCTATCACTCTGGCTAGCCTTGTTTCTTCCCAAGTCTAAAATATTCCCAAGAAGAACACCTCGTATGTGTGAAACTTGATGTTAGACCTGTTTATGGCAGGTCATGTGATATTCTGAAAATGGGTGCAGACAAATGATGACGCACACTGGACCTTAGTCCTAGTTACAACAGATCTATCTTGATTTTGGTATCTTGTAAAATAAGGAAATAGAACCATTGCAGGACTGGCAAAGAAGTTTCATCCACCAGTCAATTGGTGGAGCCAGCCCCGGTCACTGATGAAAAGGGATTCTGAACTTACACCCAGACTCAGAAAGAATGGTGCAAGCATTGATTAGCAATGTCTGTTTCAGGGGGAAGAAAAGGCAGAGGAAGTCATTTGCCATCCCAGGATTAAATGATTCTGCTCTGAACCACTGAGGCACTTTTCTATGCCTCCTTTTTCAGAATTGTCTCATGCTTTGTTTCCTTTTGGATGCTTCTTTTTTTCTGACTGTCTCTTAGGAGTTATTTAATCAACTGGATTAGACACCAACAGCTAATAAAAGACTAGGGGTCACCAGAATCAACCACATCGTTTGTGTAAGTTACTGCCACACCCTGGTGTCAGTGGCATGGGAGGAGGGGGTTGCAAGGTGATGTCAAGGTCTTTTCCATCTTCTGAGTTCCATGATCCAATATCTTGGAGTCACAATGCCTCGGCACAAAGAAAATAGTGGACTACAGTAGATCGGTGGGGCTTTCAAAGGGATGTATTCTTCTTACTTCTTCCTTTTCTTCTTGGTGGTAGGGGAAGTAGTGGGTTTCCTCCAGTCCTCAAAACAAACTCATAGTCTTCCTTGACCCCAACACTGCTAACCTAGGCTGACATGGAGCAGTTGTGACTGCCTAAGGGAACACATGAAGCAGAAGTAAGGGAAGTTGGCAGAGATTGCAAGGGATGAGGTGAGCCTACATTTTGGGGAAAAAAACTTTCAGGAGACATTCTTTATCTGGAGACAAAGAATGAAAGATGGACTCAGGTTCTTAAACCCAGCAGAAAATAGCAGAGAAACGTTAGGATGTGGGTGCATGCCTGTCTGGGGCAGTGAGTGGAGCTCAAGGTGGGACTTAGGGTGTATGGGTTCTGGTCTTCTATTGGCACTAATTTTTGGTGGGACCTTGGGTAGTGGTTTTTTTTTTCTGGGTTTCAGTTTTCTTGTGTGCAGTAATTATAAGGAAAAGAGAACAAATTGACGCGTAAGGGTTTTCCAATTCTAGTCTCTCATAGATTCAGTTCCAAGTTCATATCTACTATCTGTATAGACATAGGGGCCATCAATGTGTAAGGTTATGAAAGTAGAGTTTGTATAAAACAGAATATCCAGGGAGGGAGAGAAGCAAGAGAAGGTTTTTCTGCCTCTTAAACAGAGCATGTTAGTCTAGAAAGACTGAGAAGACTTAATCTGATCTTGTCTGGGGCAACATGAGTGTGGTAATCCTTTCTAGGATAGAAGTGCCCCACTTGGGCTATCCCCCCATTTGAATTTAAGCTCCAGAAGGACAGAGCTTACTTTCTAGAATCTGAGCCTGCTTGAGTTAGAAGTGACTTTAAAGGTCATCTAGTCCCAATCCCCCACCCCTTGAATGAGGGTTTTCTCTATCTTACCATCACAAGATGCTTCCCACATCTGCTTGTAAACTGCCCTGCTAAATAACTCACCTTGCCCTGCAAGATAGCTCACCTTGCAAAGGTTAAATAACTCTTCACTCAGTCTGGTGTTCTGCTCCAGAACTCAGGATATTTCCCTAGACTGAATGAGGAGGACAGGCTTTCCAGAAAGTTCCTCCCACACTGTCTCCAGAGTGCTGGAACCTGAAACAGCATACTCAGCTTTTCCTCAGGGAGGGAGGATTTTGAGACATAAAAGGTTTTAGAGTCACAAAGATCTGGGTTCAAGTCTCACCTACTTAGCTTACAAGTTGAGTGGCTTTGGCAAGGTACCCCAACTCTCTGTGGTGCTCACCTGCAAAACACCCAGAATAAATCGTCTCAAGAGACTGGTGTGGGGATTCCTCAGGTGCATGAGATGAGCTATGGACACATGCTGACCTCCTAACACCCTCATCTTCATGGGGATCTGAGCACACACTCAGGTAGGAACTGTCTCTTAATCACATCACATGGTGCTTGTTCCCGTGCTGAACATAGTCTTTGCCTAGTTTTAAAACTAAAAAAAATAAAATACAAGTTACCTTGCAGGTGCCCCAGGAATCTAGAACAGAGCTTGGTCTCTTGCAAATCTTATTCATCAACTAGCCAAACTCTGCTGCTCTCTGTCCTCAGAACAGCGATTGTTCTGTGAACTCAGTCTGAAATGAAAGTAAAAAACAAAAAATCAGCTGACTCATATGCAGATATAGAAACGAAGTTGTTGTTATCTCTTGCTGAAAGTTACTCACTAAACACTGACTCCAAGTCTCGGGGAAGAGAATGGTTTTGGATATCCAAGTGTGGAACCAGACATTCCAAGAGCTGATGAACCCATCCACCCGGGACAGGTGGACTCTCAGGTTGGATGAGACCCTTCAGCCAGACCGTCTGGCATGCGGGTGGAGGCAATATCAACAGCGAGCATTTGGCAGGTGAGTTAAGATGTCCCCAGCAATGGACTTTCTGGGGCTGAGGCTCAGCTTACCCCTGATTCCTTTGATGGCCTGTTAATGTCAGCAGGCTTTCCCTCCTTGGGTGGCCACAATGTTCTTTAGGATCTAAATGAGAAGACACCAAGCCTCCATTTTACACATCTGCTGGAAGTTTCTTTTTTAACTAGGTTTCCTTCCCTAAATATTTCTGCAATTCTGCCAGGAATACCCACCTGGTCCATAAACCTGCCTTGCTATCCTCTCCCACCTTATTTGTTCCAGAGACTTCTGTGGAGACTTCTGCTGTCTTCCCCATTAGTCCTGGCTGCCTTCCCCAGGCTGCGGCAGCCCTACTAGGATTAGTTCAGCCAATACCAGCCTGGGTCTGAGACTTTCCTTTAAAGCCTGAAGAATTACAAAGCCAAGTTATCTCTTGGAACATTACTTTACTGAAGGCCTGGGGGTAACAGGCGGGAACGATATTGCAAGAAGGAGATCTAAGGACTATTTCAAGGGGTCTCCTAGCAGTGCCCTGCCTTTATTGCCAATATTGGCTACATTTTTCTTTGATCCCCAGACACCCTCCAAGTTGCAGGAACAAGCTTCTTTGTCCATGTCAAAAGGGGAACAATTGCTGAGCTGGATGAACCAAGTCATTTCTTTTTCTGTGGCACACAGGAAGCTTCACTCAGTTTTCTGTTTCCCCTGTTATCCCACTTCCTTGCCTGCACCTACACTGCTTCAGGTTTCATCTGCTACATTTCTTATGGATTGCTAGCCATGCCACACCATGCATTTCAGGCTTCTATACCCTTGTCCATGATGCTCAGCCTGTTTGGCAAGTCTGCCTGCCCTCCCAAATGCCAACTCAAGTGCCATCTCCTGAAAGCATTCCTGGTCTGCCCAAGGAAAGTAAGAGTTACTTTTATATTCCCACAAGATAATGGTTTTATATATTTTTATACACACACAATAGTTTTAAATGTATGTAAATGATACCCTTAAAAATAGCATATATTTATATATTACATTTTGTATATCATATATATTTATATGATTATTTTTAGCTGCAGAACCAGTGTTTAAATGAAGCCTCCTGTTCCTCCTCTGGTGGCGCAGGAGGTTGAGCGCCGCACTGTGAAGCTGTCTGCAGCCTCTGCAGCACAGGTTCCATGCGGGCCGGCCAGCGAGGGTCCCACATGGCGAGACAGATCTTTCGTCTCGCCTGCTGCTCCCCTCAGCAGTGTATTTCAGTCAGTCTGCCTGTTCTGTTCCCCGCTCTGTCTCTGGTGAACCTTCTCAACCTCCCACGCATCTGGACTGTACCCCGATTCTTGCATAAATAAATCAATCTTAAAAAAATAAATAAATGAAGCCTCCTAGCACTCTAGAGACAGTTTCAGGTCACTGCCCAGGGCCCATGTGGCAGTCACTCTGTTCTGCTTATAATTCAGCATACTGTGTGAGCCTCTCTGTTTCTCCCCACACCAGCTAGAGCTCCTTGAGAGACTCGGGATGTCGTTTATCAGTTTGGCACTGCCCCAAACAAGAAAGTGCTTCTTTTGTTTAGATAAATTGACAAGATAGTCATTTATAGATGGGAAAATCAGCCTACTAGTTCACTTTTGGGAAAGTATCAGTCAGTTTTTGAAAAACATTTTGCAATTTACAAAGTACTTCCATATATGTTACCTCATTTAATGGTGACATTGTAACTCTGGAATATTTTTCCTTTTATGGTTTAAAACCTGAAGTTTTGAAAAAGGAAGTCCTTTATTGGAGGCTCCTCCTGATGTAAATTATGGACTTGGTCTCAACTCTAGTATTATGACTGCAGATTCTAAGTTTGTTTCTCTAGGAATAAGGCCTGCCATGAAGCTCAGTGGAGAATGTGAGTAGTAGGTATAGCAGGTGGGTCAGCAAGTGTAGGAAACATGACTCTTTTGCATGTTCTTGAGCATGTTGTGCATCCCTTTATAACTCATTTCCTTCTCTGGATCTGAACTCAATAATGCTGTGAAGCAGCCATTACAGTGCCTGCCTCAAAGTAGGTCCTCTATAAGAATTTTCTCTATTCCTTATGAGAACCAAATTTCACTGGCACATACCAGAATGTTTTTCCCCTAAGACATGTTTTATTAGCAAGGAGGCAGACTTGAGGCCATAGTCAGTGTTTCACAGGAAAAAGCTTCACTAGGAACACAACGCCTCTCATTCCAATGTGTCAATTTGTCAATACCACATGTGCTTTTCCAGATTGTAGATCTTAGAGACTGAGGCCAGACCCATTTCCCTCAGGTCAACAATCAGTTTACCATGGACTTTGTTCTGTCTGCAGGTTCCTGTGTTCCTTATGTCGGCGAAACTGGTGTTCTGCCCAAGTGCAGATCTTATGTCACATGCACCTGAAGAAAAAGAAGTCCCAGGGCCGTGTGCTTATCCGATTTTTTGGTCAAAAGTGCCAAAAGTGTTCCTGGTCTCAATTTGAAAAGCCGGATTTCTCTCAAGAGAGTACCCACAGGATTCTAACCAACCTGGTGCAGCGCGTTCTGGAGAAATTCTATGAAAATGGCATCAGAAGAGTTGCAGAGATACCAGTGAGGCCAGAAGTGCATCTGGAAGGGGCCCATGACACGGCCAATTGTGAGGCATGCTCCCTGGGCATCTGTGAACAGGACAACATGGTAGAGCCATCTGAGTTGCCATTCTCCTACATGGAGATTGGGAATTACGTCAATGGAAGCTCAGTGTCCAGCCATAATGCTGGAGAGGACCCTCGGTCCCATTGGAAAACAAGTCAACAGCCAAAACCAGGGACAGTCCAGCAGGCCGTATCAAGAGAAGGCTCATGGCCTACTCTTCAAATAACACAATCAATTTTCCCAGAGGGGGCAGTTTCCCTAGGGACTCAAGCTGCCTATGGAAGGCAAAGGCAGAGGAGGGATTCAGCTGGAGAGCCTGCTCCACATAGCTTTTCAAACTCCTCTCCATTGGTGCCACCGAATGACTCCTCTACTCAGTATCTGTTGTCCATGCTTGGCTATGTGTGTGTTGTTGCTCTGTTCACTTATCTTGCAGCCCATTATAACTAGGACAATGAAAACAGGCTGTCTTCTTCTTTTCTCCTGCCTTAGTTCCTTGTCAATGAATTGGCAGCCTTTTTTTTTTTTGTGGGGCCCTCGCTGGAGGCTGTGGAACGAACCAGTGCTGTTGAGGCTGCCAGCAGCCTCGCAGCCCAGCGCTCAACTGCTGCGCCACCAGGGGAGGCCCATGGCTGCCATTTTTAACAGAGAATTTGCTTTGATACCAAGCAGGGTCATGCATGGTAGAATAAGTACAGGTTTCCCAGACCTCCTTTGTGCAGATAAACTGAAATATGACCTGGCAGATAATGAACCCAATAACATATATTTGTTTAACCAATAAAAGGTCTTCATTCATTAATTCACTTGTTTATTCATTGGCACAACTAAGTCTTCTCTTTTTCTGTAGCACAGAGGTATTGTCACTCAACTTTCCATTTCCCCTGTTTGGGGGTGGGAGGAATCTTAAGTAAGTAAACCAAGGTGCAAGGCAACTCATGGGGAGCAATTTCAGAAAGGCTCCAAAACTGTAGATAATGAGCTTGGAAGGTGGGTCCTGAGAAGATTTAAGTAGGAAGAGTGACAGAAAACCTTTATAACAAGTTTCTTCCCCTTACTCCCATGCAACCTGGTAACCCCTCTTGCCCTCGGAAGAAGAATGGATGTTTTCTTTCTGAAGACATTGACCTAGAGGGATGCTGGGCTCAGGGTCTCTGGCATAGCTATAGAAGGGAATGCCATTCAGTACCCAGATAAAGTTTATGTAATGACTAAAGGGACTCCTTTAGCTTATCACCAAGCCTGGGAGCCATAGTTATATGCTACCTACTTGCCCCTCAAATACATAGAAGAATGGGTTGATCTTTAGAAAATCCAATCAGCTTCAAAGGAAAAATTATATATACACTGAAATGGGGTAGGGAGAGTTCTCCAAAGAAATAACCAACTCAGAAAGTTTTCTGCCAGCTTGTTGGTATCTCAGATTTGCCTTTGAATAGATTGCTTTAACTGATCAAATATTTAATACGTCCCTGAATGTGAAGGAAAAGTGTTAAAAGATTAAATAAAGAAATTCAGAAGAAACAGAAATGATTGAAGGACAAGAAATCATACCAAAAAAATTAAAAATGGGGCCTCCCCAGTGGCGCAGCGGTTGAGCGCTGGGTTGCGAAGATGCCCGCAGCCTCTGCAGCACCAGTTTGATCCCCAGCCACTGGAAGAGGGTCCCACATGGCGCACAGACCTCTCCTGCCGCCTGCTGGTCCCCTCAGCAGTGTACTTCATCACTCTGCCTGTTCTACAATCTGCTCTGGCTCTGGTGAATTCTCTCACCCTCCTGTGCCTCTGACTGTACCCAGTGCTTGTATAAATAAATAAATAAATCCTTAAAAATAATGTAAGACTAATATTCATACATTGGGAAGATAAGAGAAGGTAAAATACTCATAAAGCATACACTGGACATCATCCTCTGGGACCTTGGGTAAGGACCTTTGCTTGGAGACCACCCCTTTGGGGTGGAGGGGGGTGTCTCATATCCAAGCCTTCAGTAGACAACACTCCCAGCAGCTGGGAGAGTGAATGTGCTCCCTCATCCTGAAGGAGGGGATCTGGGGGCACACCACAGTCTCTATAGTCCCCATCTTGCACTTTGAATTCACTTGCTTCATAGAAAAAGTTCATTATGCTTGGGAAAAGATCCTCCAGTCTTCCTTTCCTGAGGAAACATGCAAGAGAAAAGTTATTTTGCAAACTAAGTTCCAACTCTGCCCTCCATGACATCTGGTCTGTGATAGCAATGGGAAGCTCATGATCTACCTTCACTACTCATCCTTCATTCCCCATTCCCTGGCACCTCTGCTGGTTTAAGTGTGATATCCCACTGCATCTCTTGGTGCCCAACATCTTCTTCTTGCCCTCACTGTGTAGCAACAGTCCTATTGCCCATTGATGATCAGGATACTGACTCCTGTTCTTGCCTCCTTGTTTCTTCACAAAAAAAAATATCTGAAATGACTTGTCATACCTGGTCAGAGGACACTTGCTATGTTCATGGAAGTACCCCTATCTAGAATCTCAGCATCTTTAGACCCTTGAACTGTGGTGATGGGAAACACAAAAGTGGCAACTAATTTCATGTGAGTGATGGAAAGGAGAGTCACTCCTACTTACACCTCTTGATTTTAAGATCTATATATTCCACCTGTTGGGACCACAGTGTCATAAAATGGTCATCGACTCTGGGTATTCTATACCTTGGTGGTGATGACACATCTTCACGAGATTAAAAATCTAAGCTGCACCACAGTTGCATCTTTAGGAGGCTACATAATTGATGCATTTTTTCTATAAATTTGTTCATTTGTCTAATAAGATATGTAGCATTTCAATTTGCTAGAACTGTGATAGAGAATATGCTCCATGCTTCTCTCTTAGCTTCTGGTGGTTTGCTGGAAGTCTTTGGTGTTCCTTGGCTTTTAGAAGCATAAACTTGATCTTTGCTTTCATCTTTATGCAGCATTCTTCACATGTGAATGTCTGTGCCCAAATTTTCCCTTTTATTAGGATACCAGTCATGTTGGGTTAGGAGTCCACCCTACTATATTATGACCTCATCTTAGCTTAGCTAATTAAATCTTCAATGACCTTATTCTCGAGGTCTCATTTTGAAATAATTAGCACCTGAGAAAATAAAGTTTGGCGAGACACAATTCAATCCATTATGTGTGGGATCCTAATTTATGGATCAAATACTCCATAAGTCCTTAAAGAATCATCCTGACTGAAGTCCTACAATCAAGAAATGCAAACCCAAATCTGGAATATGTGCTAATTATAGTCAGGATGAATCACTATCTCATCCAGAATGGAAGGGATTTAATGCAATGAACTTATTGCTGAGTAGTTGATTTGTCTACGTAAGAGATGACGCCATAGTGACAGCTCCTCTATTGTTGGCAGATTAGATATTTAGCAGTGGATTATCTACATCTACATCATTCCTAGTGAGTGGAAACTCATGCTGTTGGACCTAAACATAGCCTCCATCTCTCCCTAGTGGCTATTCTAGTGCTGCATCCATAGTGCCAGTATTAGCAGTCTGTAAGAGAGGCTGCTGTCATTAATGGCTAAGGCATTTTGTCTTCTTGGTTATATATATATATATATATATATATATATATATATATATATATATATATATATATATATATTTATTGCCTCTATCATGGTGAGTGCTTTCTGGTGAGCATCAAAGTAAGCTTCTAGATCTTCACATTTTGCCCCTACCTGTAAAATTCTATCCACATTCCTCTTCATTAAACCTCTTTGTCTTGAATCTTCTTATCTTTCTCCTTTCAGTCTCTGACCAACCAGTAAAGTCATTTTCCACTGCTTCTGAGTCCATATTTATCCTCATTGGGCCATTTCATTTTTCAAATAAAGTAGGTGACCACATATACCAATCAAAGCTCTGCCCATTGGGAGGATTTCTCCATTCCATTGTTTTTCAAGGTCACCATTTACTGAGGCTGTAGTGTAGTCATAGCCATATAATTGAGTTAAACCATTAGTGGACCAAGATTGGCCTTTTCCCTCCTCTGTTGGCTAGTCATCATGACAGGCCTGCTAACCACTCCACCCCTCCACACCACCATGTGATCTGGTATGAGCTGAAGGAGCAGCACTAGCACCCCTGTGATAGTCACCATGGGCCACAGTGTGCCACCAGTGCATCCTGCTCACAAGAGTTCTCTAGTCCTGTCTTGTGATTACACCACTTCCATATTTTGAAGGATTATGCTGGGACTGCTCAAAATTATGATTTAATGGGTCATGTATAGCCTCCATGGCTACTCTATTTAGATCCTAGTTTATGATGAACATCTTTGGTGCCATGAACTTTTTTTTAAAAGACTGAAAGTTTGATTTTGCTTATTTCATTAGTTTGTTTTATTTCTTTATGCAACATGTATGAATGAAATCATAAAGCATTTGTCTTTCTCTCTCTGACTTATTTCAGTAAGCATAATACCCTCCAGGTCTATCCATGTTGCAAATGGCAGGATTTTACCATTTTTTTAAGTAGCTAAGTAGTAATTCATTGTACATATGTAACAATCTTTATTCTGTCATCTGCCAATGGGTATAGGATGTTTCTAACTCTTAGTTATTATGAATAATGCTGTGATGACATGAGGGTGCATAGATTTCTTCAAATTTTCCTATTTTTAGGGACAGATTCAGAAGTGGACTCACTGGATCATACTGAATTTATATTACTAATTTTTTGTGGACTATCCACACTTTTCTATAATGTCTGCACCAATTTACATTTTCACCAACAGTGGACAAAGGTTTTCTTTTCTCTATATCCTCTCCAACACTTGTGGCTTTTTGTCTTATGACTAACAGTCATCTCACAGGTGGAGATACTACCTCCCCAGGGTTTTGATTTGTATTTCCCTATTAATAACAGATGATGGACATCTTTTCATGTGCCTACTGGTCTATATGTCTTGATTTAAGATTTGTCTATTCAGATCTTCTGCCCATTTTTAATCAGCTTGCTTGCTTTTTTGCTTTGAGATGTACGAATTGATTATAATTTTGGATACTAATGTCTTATTGGATATATGATTTGCAAATATCTTCTCCCATTCTATTGGATGTCTTTTCATTTTGACAACAACTTCTTTCACTGTGCCAAAGCTTTTTATTTGATGTAGTCTCATTTGTTTATATTTGCTTTGTTTCCCTTGCCATTAGAGTCAAATCCCTAAAGACACCACTAAAGCTGATGCAAGGGGTTTATCCCTGTTTTCTTTTATGAATTTTATGGGTTTAGCTTTAACATCCAAGTTTTTTTAATCCATTTTGAATTAATTTTTGTGTATGGTATTCAATAGTGGTCTAGTTTCATTCTTTTTCCTGTGGTTATATTTCTTTTTAAAGATGTATTTATTTATGCTTACAAGAACAGTGGTACAGGCCAGAAGTGTGGGGTGAGAGGATTCACTAGAGACAGAGTGTAGAACAGAACAGGCAGACTGACTGAAAACCACTGTTGAGGGGAGCAGTGGGTGAGGCAGGAGAGGTCTGTTGTGCCATGTGGGTAGGTCCCTG